TAGGGCACTCAAAGGAATTTTTCCTACACATCCCTCAATATACTGATACTGTCTCATCTTCGTCCGCTCTTTCAACTCGTAATCCGGCTGAAAAAAATTTGCGAATGCAGACTCCGTAAGGATGGTTTGCGCTCTAGCAAACGTTGCGCCCGTGCCTCAGCGTCTAAAATTACTTTAAAGTGACTTAAATAGCTGGATTGTTGGCTATTTCGCAAACGCGTGTGTATTTATTTATTACCACGCCCCTGAAAACTGACCTATGCCAACGGACGATGGCAGAAATGAAGAAGAAATTTATTACCAGTTTACAGGCAATTTTAGAAATTAGGTTAATTGGTAAGCACCTATTGGTTGCCTTCCAAAATTCACGAAGGCAGGAAAAAGCCTAAATCAAACCCCCTTTTTTGTAGTGCGTAGTCGTTTTGTTTTAGTTTTGTTCTAAGTCAAGAGTGGGCTAAATAGGGAGTTTGTTTCAAGTGAAAAAACACCTGAATTCAAAGCTACGATACTAACAAAAGAAATGTAACGTTATAGATCGTCTTGACAGTTTAGCAGAAAATAAAACTGCAGCTGGTTGGGTAACTTTAGTTCGGGACGGAGCGGGTTGAGAAAGGAACACAGTTTTCTTAGTCTTCCTTGAGTGTAAAGGTTTTCAGGTTGTGCACCAACGGAATTTTTTTGGCGTTGGATAAGCAAATTCGTCAGTTGGCGAGTAAATAATTTTTTGTTCAAACGAATTTTCTGATTATACGTAATGCATTCAATCCCAAGAAATATCTGCAGAGTTGAAAATTCCAAGTATTAGGACGTGTCTGCAGCGGCAGATTTGTCCTACCTCAGTCTAAAATTTACGTAGGAATGACTCGGACGTTTATATTTCGAAAATTTCGGCATAGATACCAATCACGTTTAATTTCAGACCATATATTTGGGACCATATCTAACCTGCGGGATGACTCCGCGGGCAGTAAGACTGCGCTGATACACAAACTGTTCCGTAACTTCGTTTTCTGATCAATTACAAAAGGACAAGAAGTTAACAGACAGGCAGAAAAAGATTTTATGAATGATTCCAGAGCTAGTGTCAGAGAGAACAAGTGTGAAGTGTTGTCCGAGTCGACAGTAGGTGTGCAGAAGTTTACAGACGTGAACAATTGGTTTTATTTTCGTAAAAAAATTAGCTTCTCTTACCAGCACATAGCAGAACTGTCCACCTCAACGCCATCTACATTGCACGTACATCATAAATTTCTGAATCTTTTTTTTTGATCGCCAAACGTGAGCTGGTTTTGGGAGCCTTCAAAAGAGTATTTGTAAACTTTCTATTTGTGCGTCTGTGTTTAATCGTGACGTTATCTATTTATTCTCTTTATATAAAGTTTAAATGGCGTTCGGGTATGTTTTGAGCCAGCAGGCGGCCCCAGGGACTTAACATATTGGACCCGCTCATCTTACGTTTGCGTTTCACTGCACTGATTTTGATGCCGTATCTGCAAAAAACACATTTCTAAGTTTGCGTATGTGGTGAGCTTGTTATCACCGTTGGTGTATTCGTAGTCAGTGTTTCTCCATTCTATCCTTTTAATTGGGAAACACGTAGTTATCTATTTAAATACTGTAGATTTTTTGTGCATAAAGAGTTAACGTTTCATTTGATTTTTATTTGTACAATCAATTAATGTGTTAAAAAGGTGCTTTTGAGGGTTTTTGCGTTAAGAATTATTGAATTTTTGTTTACTAAACTAGAGAATTTTTTTCTAGTATCATATTCCTATTTTTATTATTATTTCCTTAAGGGCCAACTGTTTCAATGCAGACCCCGATTTGCTATTCGCTGCATATGCAGCGGAACAAAGGGTTTATGAAGGCTTATTAACGAAGATTCTTCTAGCCTGCGAGTTTTTTAATAATCACCTGCTCGTAGGCCAGGCTGTCACTGTAAGCCTAATCCACCGAGTCTTTGCGGATTCTTTTCGTTTTCCATTGGCTGACGGCACGGTGGTAACCCTTTTCGTGATCAGCATCGAAGCCGCAAACTCCTAATGGTGCAGTAATTTCGCCATCTTCACACGCAGACAGGCTTTTGTATATCTTAGATGAAAATTGATCTGTACTATCGATTCAAATATCTTGTTGCTATCTTACTTTTCCTTCACATCATTCTTCCGTAGACATCACTCACTCAAACGACAACAGTATAGGTTGGCTATGTTGACACGATGTGGGATGCAGTTATTGGAGGAAAATTTAATTCTTCTTCACAGAATTCTGTCTTATGGGGCTTCGGGCTTCTGAAAGTGCAGGACTGTTTTCTGGACAACAATCTTTTACTGGATAGAAATTTGAACTGTCTATCGAGACAAAACAATTAAGCTAAACCATTTATACATAAGCTACTTCCTCAAAATACTGCAGGCGGGGAGACAGAAGACTATTTCAGATACTAAGATCCACAATGTATTGAGGCAGAAACGGTTGCGATGGAGTGGCCACTTCACGATAATGGTCGACGAGTATTTATCAGGCAGGTATTCTACGGCGATGTAGCTACTGGTGGTGGAAGACTTGGAAGGATTCGGTTCAAGAACATAAGGTACGTCATACAGCGGTAAAAATA